AAAAATTTGCATTATCACGTATCAGATGTTTCGGTATTTTTGCATACGTCTGACAGAGATAAAAACAATCGATGTTCGTATGTCGACCCATAGAAAAATATTCTCTAATAGTATTCTGATTATCACAGGCCACATCATCGAATACAAATATTGAATTGGGAAGTGCCTCCTTCGGTGGTATGACGTCACGATTGTTGGAAAATGCGTAGTAACCGATACCGTTTATCGATTCGAGCAGTTCTTCCAAATATTGATATTTCGGTTGAAAGAGAGATTTCGAATACACGTACACGTTTTCGACATGTACATCGTGTGGACTTTCTATCAAACTTATCAAAGCGTTAGTTTTCCCACAGTTGTACGGTCCACAGATGATGCAACGAATTGTATTCGGTAGTAGAGGGCCGTGTCTACGAATCTCTCCATCGGACATGAGTCGCGTCTTACGGTCGAGATTCGACACTCCTATCGTTCGTGATTGTCGTACGAATCGCATTTACTCATGTAACGCGCGTGCGCAATGTAACGCAAGCGAGTTTTTCAACACTATTTGTATCCCCGAGCAAGCGCTCGATTCACACAGTTTACTGTAAAAAGCGGATCGTTGTTGTTATCACAAAAATGTTTTTCTTACTGACAAATAAGCGTGAGATTCTTGATTTTACCGCCGAGCAATTGCAGTACATACCGAAGATTCTTCTTCTACAGGAATTTGAGAATTATGTGGAGATACTGTGGGATCGATTACCCAACCATTTAAAAACGGATCCTGAAGTGCAACGCTGTCGTCCGTGTTTAGAGCATTACAATCGTCCGTGGCAACGAACACACATAGACGGTCCACCACCACTTATCAAAGATTGCGACGTATGTCGCCGTCGTATGACATAAGATAGTGTGGAGAGGAATGATTTCTGGTGCGGGTTTACTCAACAAGACAATAAATGCGCTTCCGTTTGAAGAACATATACCTAGTTATCAATTTTGTGGACCGGGTACTCGTCTCGTAAAAAGACTAGCGCGTGGTGATCGAGGCATAAATCGATTAGACGCGGCGTGTCGCGAACATGATATCGCCTATTCGCGAAGTAACGATCTCACCGATCGTCACATTGCCGATTGAGTTCTCGCCGAAAGAGCACGCGAACGTATAACAGCGAATGATTCAACGTTTGGTGAGAAAGCCACCGCAACCGCTGTATGGGCAGCCATGAAAGCAAAAACGAAATTAGGGATGGGTATGAAAAGAAGAAAGAGAACGAAAAGGAAGAGACTACTTCCGGTAACGAAACGTGGAGGTGTCCTACCGATTTTACCAATGTTAGGTGCGCTCGGATCTTTGATTGGTGGAGCGGCGAGCGTAGCGAGAGCTGTGAGCGATCGCAAGGCAGTTCGACGTCAGTCGGAGGGTCGTGGACTGTATCTAGCGCCCTACAAACGTAGTGGTAGCGTGCGGAAGAGAAAAAAGACAAGAGGTAAAGAAAACATCGTGGGAGGAAACGTTAGAGGCTCTTAAAATACCACTCTCCGGTATCACGACGAACGAACAGTTGAGCCGCGCGGCGTATCATTTGCGTTTACCATTCTTCAGAGGTGTGTTTATGTCTGACGCGTTACCGACGAAACCGTATCGAAACGAAAGTGGTATCGTGAACCTGGATAATTCGGAAAATGCTGGCACACACTGGGTTGCTTACGCAAAGAAAGGAAATAACGCTGTTTACTTCGATAGTTTTGGCAATCTTAGACCGTCAAGGGAACTCGAACGCTATCTCGGAAAAAACGTAACGTATAATCATCGCTCTTATCAGACGTTCGATCAGAGTATTTGCGGTCAATTGTGTCTACGATTTCTTCGAGAAATAGATTGGAAGAAAAAATATATCCAATAATAAGTCGTGTGAGTCACCTCAGTTGAACGTTCACCTTCAATCACATTATGTCGTTGACTTTCGCGTTGAATGGAACAACTAGTATCCTCACGGCGAGTTACTTCCCTTCGTTGGATTTAAGTAATGGTGAATACGAATTGGGTCTTATGAATTTTGAAACGTACAACGCAA